AAAGCATTTTTACAAAAGCACTTCTACGAAAGTACTTTTATAAAAGTACTACAAAAGCACTTTTATGAAAGCATTTTTACAAAAGCACTTCTACGGAAGTACTTTTATAAAAGTACTACAAAAGCATTTGTACAAAAGCACTTTTATGAAAGCACTTTTATAGAAGCACTATTACGAAAATAATTTTATAAAAGTACTTTTTACGAAGCATTTTTATAAAAGCACTTCTACGAGAGCACTTTTATAAAAGTACTTTTATAAACACACTTTAACAGAAGCATTTTTACGAAGTACTTTCATAAAAGTGCTTTTATGAAATGCACTTTTATGAAAGTAATTTATCAAAAACAACACTTTTATGAAAAAACTTTTACAAAAGTGCTTTTTCAATGCCAAAAGGGTATATTTTTGTAATTTTCAGATTTTCTTCATTTTAATATATATTTTTTAATTTTTATATGTTCTGTTTTTTTAATATATTTTTTTATATTTCATTCGGTTTGGATTGGATTGGATTTGGACTGGATTGGGTCCAGTCCATTTGTAAGTGGACTCACATTGGACTAGATCAGGTTGGATCAAATCCAGTCCAATTGACACCTCTAGCTGTATGTATTACTTACACTTATTGATGCTTGGAATATTTCTTTTGATAACTAAAATTTTTTATTAATTGTAAATAAGTGGAATCATAAGTACAAGAACCTTCCCGCAAAAAATTGAAAGAGGGTCAAGATACATTTGATGCACAAAGGAGCTAAAACATAATCCACATTTTATTTGCATTCAATATTTCAATTTTATTACCATCCAAATGCTATTTATGGATGATGTATTACTTTAGATCTGCAACTTAAATATCATTTAGGAACACTGTACAAAGAAAAACCTTTTAAATAATATGCACACTTGTACAAACTGGCAAGTATTTATCAAGTTCTTCAAGCATAATCCAACACTGCCTCAATATAGAAGGCTGGAGAAGGTGAGTCTCTCAGGGCTGAGATCCTGGCGGCTTTGGAAGAGGTTGAAAGAGCTAAAAAACTGAGTATTAGTAAGCTGGTAATAGAAGGAGATGGAGGTGGTACTGTGGTAGTGGATTGGTTAAAGGAAGACAAGAATGAGCTTTGGAACTATGGCAATGAAAAGAAATTTAAATGGCCGACAAAGGACATTGATGTAAAATATAGATGGGTGAAGAGAAGTGCAAATTCTTTTGTTGATGGGTTAGCCAAACAAGGGGTGAATAGGGAATCTTTATTCTAGGCTCATTTTCTTTTGGGTGGCCTTAAGTATCTCTTGGGGGAGTTAAGATAGTTTATCTCTTGTACTTAAGGCTTAATTTTAATGAAAGTTATTTGTTTTCGATCATTAAGAAAAAATAGAAGGTTGTGCAGTTGAGTTGATTAAGCTAATGGCTTGGCTGTGCCATATTGTCATTATCAAAAGAGAGTGTTGTGGGATTTCAGACACATGCTGGTTTAGGAGCTGGGCAAGTTTGGCAGCTAAGGAATGAATTCAGGTGCTTCAAACAGCTTTCTAGAGATATGCTCATCCAAATAAGATGGATTAGAAGATCTGCAAACAGCATGGCAGATGGCCTAGCTAAACAAGGAATTCAGAGACAATCCATGTGTTAGGAACCTGCCTAACTTAGGGCTCTTTGAGGGAGCCAACCTCCTGAATTCGTTGGAAGGAGAGAGAGAGAGAGAGAGAGAGAGAGGGAGATTAATGCCGAAAGAATTCCTGTCTTATTTCTCTTTGTGCTTCACTACTTATACTGTTTACAATCTTTGATTTCTTTCTGCTACAACTGTTGCAAGTGAATGTGGGAAAATTTGATTGCAGATCTAAGTAGGATTCCCAGGTTGCATCCTCTTCTGGGAGTTTAGACCAAACAACTAATGCTTCTGGTATGACTCTTCCACCACGGCGCACCCATCTGAAATCAATGATGCGGGTTGGCTCAGTCTGCACTTGTCCTTCATCTGAAAATGTGGGAAGGGTCGCACTTGTAATGACTCCTGGCTTTGACCCTTTCTTCAGTAAGGAGATATAGAATACAGGGTGCAGTTTTGATGTTGCCGGAAGGTCCAGCTTGTAGGCCACTGACCCTATTCTCTCAAGCATTTTAAATGGTCCAAAATAGTGCGGGCTGAGTTTGTTCCACTGTCGGCTTGCAACTGAAATCTGTCTGAAAGGTTGTAATTTGAGAAACACCCAATCACCGACTTCATATTGGACATTCTTGTGATGTTTATCATAGGTGTGCTTCACCCATTGCTGTGCCTGTAAGACATGATGTCTCAGTTCCTTTAACACCTCATCTCGTTGCGTCAGCTGTTCTTCTAAGGCCGCTACTGTGGTAGGCCCTTTTTCATAAGGAAGTAGAGGGGGAGGGTCCCGACCATATAGAGCTCTAAAGGGTGTCATCCCAGCGGCGCTATGGAAAGTGGCATTGTACCACCATTCAGCCCAGTGGATCCACTTCACCCATTGTCTTGGTCGATCTCCCGTGAAGCATATCGGATATGTTTCGAGACTCTTGTTAACTGCCTCTGTCTGTCCATTAGATTGGGGGTAGTAGCTAGTTGACTTGAAGAGTTTAACCCCGTGCAGGCGAAAAAGCTCAGCCAAAAAACGACTCATAAAAATTGGGCCCCTATCTGATACAATTGAGCTGGGTAGCCCGTGTAGGCGCACAATTTCCCAGAGGAACAATTCAGCCACTGTGACTGCTGTAAATGGGTGTGATAGAGGTAGGAAATGACTGTATTTCATCAATCTATCCACTACCACAAGGATAATTGTTTTGCTGGCAGAAACGAACAATCCCGTGATTAAATCCATTGATATTATCATCCCAGACTTGGGTTGGTATTGGGAGTGGTTGCAAGAGGCCTGCTGCTGTTGTAGTGGCTGACTTATTTTGTTGGCATACTGCACACCCGACTATAAAGTTCTGGATAGATGCACACATGGCTTTCCAATGGAATTGTGTGGCGATGCGTTTTTGTGTTCGTAGGATGCCAGAGTGGCCACCTGTGGGCGAGGCATGGAATAATTCCAGGAGCTTCCTGAGATGAGAAGAATCTGCTGGAATTTCTAGGCATCCTTTGAAGAAGAGTATATCATTCTTGATGGTATACCCAGGGTCTAGTGAGGGAGTTGCCAATACTTGGGCCTTCAACTGCTGTAACTCCCTATGTGACTGGGCTTCTTTTCGAAGTAGATCCAAGAATGGAGATGTTGGGGAAGATACTAGTAACTGAAATGATTGTGGGTGCCATGAGAGGGAGTCAGCCACTTGGTTAGCATCCCCTGCTTTGTACTCAATTATGTAGTCGTATCCTAGTAGCTTGGATATTCATCGTTGTTCCGGGGATAGGACTGATTGATCCAATAAGAACTTCAAACTTTGATGGTCGGTCCGAATTATGAACCGTTTACCGAGCAAGTAGGATCGCCAACGTTGGATTGCTAAGACCACTGCTATTAATTCTYGTTCATAAACTGATTTGGCCCACTTTTGTGATGTTAAGGCCTTGCTAAAAAAGGCTAGTGGTTGCCCCTCTTGCATGAGAACAGCCCCAACACTTTGACCAGAGGCATCACACTCAATGATGAAGTCTTTTGTGAAATCGGGCAATGCTAATGTTGGACGGCTCACAACTGCTTGTCTCAACTGCTTAAAAGCTTGTTGGGCCCGGGTTGACCAATGAAAAGCATCTCGTTTCAGCAATTGGGTCAACGGGGTAGCTATTAGGTTGTAGTTTTTTATGAAGTGGCGGTAGTACCCAGTCAAGCCCAAGAAGGCCCTCAACTCTTTCACACTTTTGGGTTGCAGCCAGCCCATTATACTGGAGATTTTATCTGGGTTGGCTGCTATAGTTTCGTTCTCTACAACATGTCCCAAGTAGTGAACTTGGTTTTGTCCAAAGGAGCACTTGGACTCTAGCGAACAACTGGTGGGCCTTAAGTGTTGCAAGGGTGACCTGTAGATGATTCAGATGTTCCTCCCAATTGGGGCTATAGACCAATATGTCATCAAAGAAAACAAGGATGAATTTACGTAAATATGGCTGGAATATGTCGTTCATTAATGCTTGAAATGTGGCTGGAGCGTTGGTCAGCCCAAATGGCATGACCAGGAACTCATAGTGGCCATCATGTGTCCTGAAAGCCGTTTTGTGAACATCCTCCCTATGTACCCTTATTTGATGATACCCAACTCGTAAATCTAGTTTTGAGAATATGGTGGCTTGACCGAGTTCATCAAACAGCTCATCAATGACTGGTATTGGAAATCGGTCTTTAATGGTGATATTGTTAAGGGCTCTGTAATCAATACAAAATCGCCACGTCCCATCCTTCTTTTTGACTAATAATACCGGTGAAGAGAATGGGCTGTGACTGGGTTGTATTATCCCTTGCTTAGGCATATCTTGAACTTGCTTCTCGATTTCAAATTTTTGAAAATAAGGGTATCGGTAAGGTCTTACATTGGTTGGGGCGGCTCCTGGCATGAGGGGGATGCAGTGGTCATGCTCCCAGTGTGGTGGAAGTTCTTGGGGTTCTTCAAACACGCTGCCATATTGCTAAAGGAGTTGTTGTAGGCGACTTTGGAAGTCTCCAGGCCCATTTGGGCTACTGTTAGCTAAAGATGGGCTGGTCCAATTTGAGTCCATGTGCATGAATATGGGCTGATCCAGATCTCCCATTTGCTTTGTTAATGTTGCAAGACTGATGGGCCTTAGACCCTTGCATGTTTGCCCTTGTAGATGGATTGTAGAGTTCCCTGATGTGAAGTCCATGGTGAGACATGCTCTGTCACAGATCATAGGCCCTAGCTGTCTTAACCATTGAATGCCTAGTACCACGTTTGCTCCACTGAGATGAAGAGGATATAGGTCCATAGAAAACTGGTGACCCTGAACCTTTAGTGGTAAGCCCATGCATATACTATTGCAGGATAGGCTATTACTATTGGCCACATGAATTGTAAAAGCCATTGTTGGTTGAATTGGGAGTCCCATTTTATCCACCAAGACTTGAGTTATGAAGTTAAGGGAACTGTCACTGTCTATGAGGATTGACACTTGGCGTCCCTGAATTAGCCCGACAACTCTCATTGTTTGAGGGGACGCAAGTCCCATAAGGGCTTGTAGAGATATTTCAGGTGTGCCATTGGGTTGTATTTCCCACCTTGGGTTAGATTCCCCGCAACCGGTGAGGTTGTCTTCCTCTTCGACATCTGTTTGGAGGAGAAATGCTTGTTGTTTCTTGCACCGATGGCCCGACCCGAATTTCTCTTCGCAATTGTAGCAAAGTCCTTTGTCTCTGTAGGCTTGCATCTTTGCCCAAGTAAGCCGTTTGAAAGGAACTAATGGGCCTGGGCCCAGTATTCCTTCCTCCTTGTCTCGTGCTGTCGTCCTGATTCCTGGACCTCATGGCCGTTGCACCTTTTTTGCTTGGGCGAACTTTTCATACAATCTTGCTAGTGCTGCCGCATTTATGATCGAAGTGGGCTGCATTGCCTTCACTTCCAGTCGCAGTTCTTCTTTCAGGCTGCCAACGAAGCTTCCCACCAGTGCCCTCTCCATCCACCCTTGGACTCTCATGGCCAGCTTTTCGAACTCCATCTGTTAATCTTTAACTGATCCCACCTGCCACAGCTTTGCCAGACTCTCATCGTGATCTTTGAACCCAGACGATCCAAAACAGATAGTCATGGCATTGGTGAAGTCTGCCCAAGTTTGACAAGGGTGCTCCTGTCGGTACCATTGAAACCAGAGGATAGCTTCCCCTTCAAGATGCGCAGAAGCCAGAGCTACCCTGTCTTGCCCAGGTGTTTCATGGTAATCAAAGTACCGTTCGGCTCTGAGAATCCAGGGAATTGGGTCGCCACTTGAGAAGATGGGGAAGTCGATTTTGGCTGCTCTCGTTGCCACCGACCCTATTCTGCGGTTGTTTTCATCGCTGCGCTCTTCTTGGCCTCCTCTATCGTTGTTCGTTGCCTAGCCGATTGAGAGAGCAGTGAAACTTTCCATCATTTCTTTGAGATCTGAAGACATTTGATGAATCTCTACCTCCATCTGATCCACTCGGGTGTCTCTAACGTGTTTCTTGTGTTGGTCATGCTGGCTCTGATACCAACTTGTTAGGAACCTGCCTAACTCAGGGCTCTTCGAGGGAGCCAACCTCCTGAATTCGTTGGAAGGAGAGAGAGAGGGAGATTAATGCTGAAAGAATTCCTGTCTTATTTCTCTTTGTGCTTCACTACTTATACTGTTTACAATCTTTGATTTCTTTCCGTTACAGCTGTTGCAAGTGGATGACTAGTTGTGCTGACATGGCCTCCTCTTGTAAAACTGATTGACTGCTTTCTGTTGGTCTGTTCCAGCAGTCTTTACACCATGTTTTGTGCTCTTTTGTAAACTTGGGTTGGCTTTTTGGGTTTGATGTTTTTCTTTTTCACAACCTCTTGTTGTATACTTCTACTCTAAATTAATGAATTAACCTTTTGTTGCTTATCGAAAAAAAAAAACAAGATTGATCTCAGGTTCTCAAGTACTACATGGATCGCTGCTTAAAAACTTGGGAAGGTTGAAAGGACTGATCTATTTTCTGAGAAAGCTGAACTTCCAATGTATCTGGCTAGGTCATTAGAATGGTGAGGGGACCATTTAGGATCTGTTTGGAAGTGCTTGCTTATATCCCATTCCCATATGGAATTTTGTTGGTTAATATGATAACTTACAACATTGAGTTTCAAATTGAAGTGGAATTTTCCAACTGTGTATATTGCAATAAAATTAGGGGTGCAAGTTGGGCCAGGTTAGGTCAGGTTGAGGTCCACCCTAACCCAACCCGAGTTGTTGAACCCCCCAACCCTAAAACTTTGGGTTGGGTTTGAATTCCTTGTTTAAATAGGCGCTAAGGGTGCATGTAAATTCTATAATAGCATTATTATGTGTAAAAGGAACATAGTTGTCATTGTTTTAGAATAAAAAGTTTGCCTTCAATATATATATGTGTGTGTGTGTGTATGTAGCTAGGTTTGGGTTAACCCAGCCCAAGTTGCTGCTCTAATAAATGTTTGAGTTTCTTTTTTTGTTTGATTTCATGCTATCTAGCTCCACCTTATGTAATTTTTTCTTTTTTTTTTTTACAGAAAATTTCAGGGCTTTATGCACAGGTACCCTCTTGAAATTATTTTCTTGTTATTTGTGTTTTGCCTTTACCATTGTTGGGATAAGATTTATTAAGATGATTTGTTATTTCAAGTATAGGTGAGAAAGGGAAAGGTGCCAATGGAAAAAATCTACACTACAAGGGAATACCATTTCATCGTATAATCTCTGGGTTCATGATCCAAGGTGGAGATATTGTTTATGGGGATGGGAGAGGAAGTGATTCTATTTATGGTGGAACATTTCCTGATGAGAATTTCAGGATAAAACACTCTCATGCAGGTCCCATAGCATCATCCCCTTTTCCTTGATTTTTCTTGAGATTCCTTTAATTCTCTGTCTGTGCATATCTTATAGTGGCTATACTTTCTCCTTTATTTTTCCATGTCTAAACTATACCTTTGGTTGTAGGTGTTGTATCCATGGTGAATTCTGGACCTGATTCCAATGGCTCACAGTTCTTCATAACTACAGTTAAAGCCAGCTGGTAAGCTACAAGTATCAATGTATCATCATCATCATAATAGCCTTATCTCCAACTACATGGAATCGCCTTAAAAAAAGTACATGGAGTCACATTCCATTCTTTTTGGTGCCATATCCATTGTTAAATTATAAGTGCTTAAATCGTCACTTACCACAACCCGTCTTTTTTGGTAATCTACAAGGCTCGGTACGGAAGGAGTACAAATATAAATATGTAGAGTGGAAAACCTTATATTTTGTATTATTTTGTATGTATTTGTACTCTTTCCAGACTGAGCCTAAGTTCTTATATTACCCAAAACTATGATCAAAATAAGATGATTCCATAAGACTTCTTAAAAGAGAATGCTGTATTGAATAAGCAGCCAGATGTCAGTGAACCCACATCTCCTGCGAGTAAAAACTGTGTACAGGGTATCCAATCACACATTGGGAATATCTCCTGTACATGTATGTTAATTCATAGGGAGATCAGAGATGTTCCCCATTATGCAGCTGGATGCCTATGCTTGCAGAGTTTTTGCTTGCAGGGGATCCTGTTGCCATGTTGGACTGCGGGAGAGGATGCATGAGTTCCTGTGTAATGTTTTTGGTATACTTCTCTAGGTTGGATGGGGAGCATGTCGTCTTTGGCAAGGTTATTCAAGGTATGGACACTGTATACGCAATAGAGGGGGGAGCTGGGACCTACAGCGGGAAACCCAGGAAGAAGGTTGTTATCGCAGACTCAGGTGAGATACCCATGAACAAATGGGATGAAGAAAGCTGACCAACTTCACCAAATGACCTCTGCCATTAAAACTGTCGTCCGTGTAACCTGACGACCCGTCATCCATTGGTTTATTTGGGTGTGCTCCCGAGATTGGTTTCATGTTTATTGCCAATGGAATTGCTCTATGCATGAATTTTTCCCAGGCGGTATCAGTTCTATGGTCATTAATATATTATTGCCAAAGAAGTTCATGGTCTGTTGTTTGTAACCCATTGACGCTTATTAATATATACATGTACTTGTTGCAATTGCCTTGACTCATGCGTGTTCAGTGTTGTATTATCGCCCTTTAACAAAAGGGTAGTTACTGTTGGTAAGCATACTAGCATATTATTTCGGCCACATTTAATAACATTTCAATGGACTTTTATTTTTTTTTTTTGAGTTCAAATCGTCTCCCCAAGGAGCGTCCCCACGCCTGCCCCATAATGCACATCTCAGTGTGCATTAAGAACATTTTCCGGATGTACAGTAGGACGCGTGTGGTGCATGCTCTATGGGAAGCTCATGCAGATTCGATTTCTTGGTGTTTCCAAATTGGAAAAAACAAATATTTTTTATCTGTGAATGCGAGGAAGGTGTCTGTTGGATCAATGGAGTCTCTTGGGTTGGATGCAAGGAATTATCAATGTGTATTGTATAATTAGCAATGTTTAGAAAATTGGACCGCATCGGCCGGTTGAACCAGTTGAATTGTGACTCAAGGCCCTGATGGATTTTGGTTATACCTCAATAACTCGGACTTGTTCAAAACCTGTTGAAAATCAGTTAATCGGCTAGTTGAATTGAAAAACCGATGAACTAGTCCTGGTTTCATGAAACTGTCTAGGTTTATACATAAGTGAAATTTTAAAATGTTAACTAGATTTGAACTCAAGACTTCTTATTTTCATAAATTATTTAATTACTACTAAGGATTAAAGTATTGGTATTGGGTATCGTATCAGGCAACTTGGATACAGATACACTTGGAAAACGCAGGGATATGAACGAAAAAACATTGAAATGTTTGGATACGCTAAGAAAATGCATACAAATTTCACAAGTATATTAATAACATTAAATTTAATGTCAAAACAAATATAAATAATATATAAATATCTAGGAATTGTATATTTAAATGATATATATATATTTATTTATTCCTATATATATATATGGATACGTTTTGGAAACGTATGGATACATTCATACAAATTTCACAAATATATTAATAACACTAAATTTAATGTCAAAATAATCACAAATAGTGTATAAATAAATAGGAAATATATATTTTTATGGGATATGTGAAAAAATACATTACAATTATTATACTATGATGCATAAATATCATACAACTTTATTGATAATACATTAATCAAGAGTTCTGTTGGAGTTCATTGCCAGCATTACACCATGGGAGCAAGGTACAACTTCACCTTGGAGAGTAGATATACACAAAAGATGCCCAAAGCTAATAGCTAATATCCTGCTCTCACTGTCTCTGATAACCACTCCAAAACCGGTATTACCATTTCCATTTAAAGAACCATCCACATTAATTTTCAGAGTTTCCAAAAAGATTGGTGATTGGTTTCTTCAGATACTTGAAAAGAATTTTGCTATATTTTCAGCAAAATCATCTTCCTCTCCCTCCAAGACCTGATAAAAGCCACAATAGAAGAGGAAGGGTTAGGAGGGGAGTCATTAAAAATACAATTATTTCTGCTTTTCCAGAAGATCCAAAGAAGAAGAGCATATTGGATTAAAAGCTCCTCCTTCCTTGATTTCTCTATAGAATAGAAATAAATCCACTGTTCCAGCTAATCAGCAAACTGAGAATAGTTTTGGACCATATCAGAATTATAGCTGAAGATAGACCCGAACCAAACTGCTTTAGCATGATCACAAAGGAAGAGTGCATGGAGCACAGTTTCAGGGGATTTACCACAGGTCTGACACAGATTGAAGTTGGTTAAACCTCTTTTTTCCAAATTAACTCTGATTGCAATTGCTTCCCAAATGCATTTCCAAATAAAATGTTTTATTTTTTGATTTATTTTCAGTTTCCATATCTCTTTCAAGATTAGACCTTTTGGTTGAGCTTTGCGATCAAGATTGGGGTTATTGGACTATCTCTGATCCAGCAAACTCCTCTTAGCCAGAAAATATGTAAATTTCACCTAGAAGTTTCCTGATGAAGATCCTTTCCACATCAGTCTATCCTCCCAGCTTCCAGTAGCTAGTTTGATGCTTAATATTTGGTTTGCAATTACATCAATAAACAAATTCCTGACTATTTTTGTCTTCCGGTGGATTCCCGGCATATTGAATCCTTGACCCAACAGATTTCAGTGTTCTGTGGTTTTAGCCCCATAATTTTTGAAGTGGTAAGTTTTGGAGCCAGGGGTCCTTTCAAATTCTTATTTCTACTGATTGCTTCCTAGTTTAACCAGGCAATTGTCTTGTCCTTTTTTTTTTCTTTTGTTAATCCTCACCAAAATTTCCTTTGAGATTTTACCATTTCAGTGCAAATTTGTTCGGGGATAAGAAAGCAATATATTGAATAGGTAGGAATTGCAGCTATGACTGACTTGAGTATCACCTCTTTTCCCCCTTGAGAGAGGAAGAGGTCATGCCACCCTTAGCTTTTAGCTTCTATTCTGTTAATTAAATGAGCAAACGATTGTTTTTTTGTTTTTTTTTGTTCTACCAAAGCCAGTTGGGGAGACCTAAACAAATAAAAGGGTTTTCAATTCTCCTCATTTTGAGGCTTCTTGCCAAAATTTTCTGGAGTTTGGGGGTGTAGGTTTCTACTAAAGTAAATTTCAGATTTTTCATAGTTTACCTATTGCCCTAAAGCCTTCTCATACAAGTGGATTGCTTCCAATAGAGTTTGGCCTTCAACTAGGTCAACTTTAGTAAAAAGAAAGCTATCATTGCAAAAAAGAGATGTGAGATCTTTGTACAATCTCTTGTCAGCTTTACTCTAGTAATACTTTTTGAACAACTAGATTTTGGACATTAGTTAACAAGGCTTCAGAACAAAAAACGAAAGAGGTAGGGAGATTTAGGGTATCCTTGTCTTAGACCTCTTTCAGGCCAGATAGTCTCAATAGGGGTTCCATTTATTAAGATTTGGTAAGAAATTGTTGTGATGCGGCCAGGGGTGGCCACGAGCTACTCGAGTTGCCAAGTCGAGCTCGAGCCCAATTTACAGGCTCATTTATTAATCGAGCCCGAGCTCAAGCCTAATAAAGCTCAACTCATAAGGCTTGCAAGTCGAGCTCAAATAGCTACATACATGCATACATACATACATACATACATACATACATACATACATACATACATACATACATACATACATACATACATACATACATACATACNCATACATACATACATACATACATACATACATACATACATACATACATACATACATACATACATACATACATACATATAATAATAATAATAATAATAATAATATAAAATAATATATATAATATTTTTATTTTTATTTTTATATATAATAATAACTAATATTATATCTTAATTTTTAAATATCAAATAAAAAATATTTTTATATAATTTTTTTTATTTTTATAAATCATTTTTCTCAAGTCGAGCTCGAGCTTACGGGCTTTTGACTCGAGTCGAGCTTGAGCCTCGTACTACCTTGGTGAGCCAAGCTTGAATAGCTAGCTATTCGGCTTGGATCAGCTCAAATCCACCCCTAGATGCAGCTCATAATCCAGTTAACCCACCTGGTCCCAAAACCTAGTTTTTCCAAAACTAATTTCACAAACTTTTATTCAACTCTATCATAAGCCATACTCATGTCTAGTTTTATGGCCATCCATTTGGTTTTATTTTTTGTTTTCTTCATGTGATCAATTACCTCATGGGCCACTAAGATATTATCCTGAATTAATTTACCCAGAGTGAAGGCACTTTGGTTTCACTTATTAGTTTGCTCAGGTAAGGCTTGACTCTATTGACCAGAATTTTTGTTACGATTTTATAAATTGTGTTGTAGGGGCTGATGGGTTTGTAACGGCTAGCTTTGGATGGGGCTTTGACTTTTGGGATTAAAGCTATAAATGTAGAATTAAATTATTTGAAGCTAAGACCCTCATTAAAGAAAGATAATATGGTTTTAGTGACATCTTGACCCACTATTCCCCAATATCTTTGGAAACATAAGTTTTAAAAGCTATTTGAGCCTAGGGATTTATTGGGTGTCATTTGAAACAATGCCTTTTTAACCTCCTCCTCTACAATGTCCCTCTCTAACTAGCTTCTTTCTTCTTCATTCAGTTTATGATTGATATTCTCTAGAACATCATCAATTCTGGAAGGATTGGTGGACTTGTATAGGTTTGCAAAGTGATGCAACAAGACACCTTCCACTTCCACTTCTTCTTTAGCCCAATCACCTTCCTTAGATTGCAATCTCACAATTCTATTTCGGCTTCTCCTTTTCATTATTACTTCATGAAAATATTTGGTGTTTTTATCACCATGCTGAAGGCAATTTATTCTTGGCTTCTGGATCCACAATTGTTCTTCTCTCGTTAACCATTTGCCCAATTCTTTCTCCAATTCTTTATAGTTTCCCTTATCAGACTCATTTTCCTCTATTTGCTACTCCTCGAAGGCTTTTTTTTTGTGGAAGTAATTTTCTTTTGAATATTTCCAAAGACTTCATAGTTCCACTTCTTAAGATCAACTTGAAGGGAACCTAGTTTTTCTGTTAGACACGTTTGGTTTAAGCTTGAGTTATTCCTCTTCCAACTTAGCTCCAGAGTATTTTGGAAGTCTTCATGATCACACCAAACCTCTTCCAATCGAAAAGGTATTCTCTTCCACTTGGTTCTTTTTTCATTGCTAATTAAAATAGGCATGTGATCAGAACCTAGAGAAAACAAAACTTGCATATGAGCCTCCACAAAAAAAAAAAAAAATCATCTTGGGTTGCAACAAGCTCTATCAAGTCTAGCTCTTATCCTCTCATCTTCCTCCCTCTCATTTGACCAGGCATAGAAGAGCATGTAGCTTGGAAGCTCTTGTAAATGACAAATTCTTAAAAGATTCCTATTCCTGACTAGGTAACTCTGACTACATCCTTCCCTCCTTCCTTTTCTTGTTGATACAAATCATATTTAGATCTCCACAACAGAGCCATAGACTTTTGACTAAAGAGGCTAAGGCTTTCCACTTTTCCTAAAAAAAAAATTCCTATTTTACTTTCTTGGTTCACCATAAA